CCGAACCCGCGACCCTCAGATTGCGAGTCAAGCGCCCTAGCCACCTGGCCAGAGGTAAGTTTATGAACTGACTACGCTAAAATACTGAGTGAAGATACCCTGTGTATGAATTTGCTTTAAAAAAAATCTCCTAGACATCGGAATAAGTAAAATGTCTGTAATCTGTTTTCATATATATATCACAGAGATGTGGTTTTGTTAAATATTGAAAAATCGCACTTTATATATATACATCAGTAACGACTCCTTTTTCCATAGTAGTGGGCTGTTTTAATCATTAAATTACAAACACATTTTCCACTTTTTCTCTTCAACCAACCACTATAAAGTTATATTTAACATCTGAAACCAGAAGTTCAATATTAACATAGAGATTTATTTAGTATTTTTAATCTGTTTGAAACTTTATGTGATACAAGGGCTAAATAACTAGGCCAGAGATCCTACCTCAAGGATCAGGATAACAACTAGGCCAGAGATTCTACCTCAAGGATCAAGATAACAACTAGGCCAGAGATTCTACCTCAAGGATCAGGATAACAACTAGGCCAGAGATTCTACCTCAAGGATCAAGATAACAACTAGGCCAGAGATCCTACTTCAAGGATTAGGATAACAACTAGGCCAGAGATTCTACCTCAAGAATCAAGATAACAACTAGGCCAGATATCCTACCTCAAGGATCAAGATAACAACTAGGCCAGATATCCTACCTCAAGGATCAGGATAACAACTAGGCCAGAGGACAGGTTAGTGAAATTTGTAAGTCTTTTATGTTCAATTTAAACTATACTTAACAATCATGATCAAACTGAGGACAGGCTAGTGAAATATGTAACAGTCTATTAAATTTAAACTATACTTAACAATCATGATCAAACTGAAGACAGGCTAGTGAAATATGTAACAGCCTATTATGTTAAATTTAAACTATACTTAACAATCATGATCAAACTGAGGACAAGCTAGTGAAATTTGTAACAGTCTATTATGTTAAACTGTACTTACTTAACAATCATGATCAAACTGAAGACAAGATAGTGAAATTTGTAAGTCTATTTTGTTAAACTATACTTGCTTAACAATCATTTATTTATTAACCCTTGACCTAAACTCGGGTAGGTCAAAGTGTACATCATTACCTTTTATACAATTGCATTCAAAATTTAATGAAACAACTTTATTATCAATGCATGCCAATAAGTTTGGCATCATAACACAGATTTTAATTCACATTTTAATTTCATACTTTCTAAAGGAAATATTTAAATAAATTCTCAAGCTTCACAAGATACCTCCTCTCTCCAAATTGTCAATTTTTGATTTTTTTTTTACCCTTATACGACCTCCTAACACTCCATGGAATTAAACACTTATACTATACATATCCCTAAACTGTCAACTTGTAGCTGTAAAACTTTTTTGTTTTCTGCTTTAGGAAGATATAATAAATAAGATGAAGGCCACATGTCATGCTCTTTCTATAATATCATACTTTCATAGATCATCATGCTGTTTAATTATTTGTAATCAACAGAAAGTGAAGATTTCACTTTACTGACAGCCTGAAGTCCTTGTAATAGGCAGATTTGAACATTTTGGCTTAATTTTCTTTGTCTGTCCACTGCTGGAGCTCTGCTTTACCAGGTATAGGAATTATTTAAACTATTTTTAGCTTATTCACTTGTATCACACTTGAACAGTTCATAGTAAAACATAAGCACATTTTATCTCTATGTAGAACAGTTGACAACCCTAGTATTCAAACACCAGGTGGAAAAATTGCTGTATTGGCTATGATTTATAAATTGCCTCTCCAAAATTTAAGTTAGTGAGGTAATTATTTTGGTCTATATCAGAACATGACGTATCTATCGCTACCCTGTTAAACATGAAGGTAATTACTGAGAAGTTGGAAGGGATGTGAATTTTGTTGCAATTGTTAGATAATTGTTTTTAGATACAAATATATTCTAATAGTTAAACTATCTTGATAAATATTATAAACATTTACAAAAGTTAGTTAAGTTTAATCTATACAACCAGTAAACCAATGAGCTACAGGTGAGAGAGTTAATCTGGTACTCCAATGACTGTTTATAGAATCAAAATATAAATAAAAACCATACTTATATAGTCTTGAATTGTAAAAAACTTATACACAAAACACTAATATATCAGAAATTGGTATACAAGCCCATCTTTTTTGTTACAATTGTATTAAAATTCTATATTTCAAAGCATCACTTTTTAACCATGGGAGATTTAGAAGTTCTCGGGAGAAGCATGCCATATTGTAGGTGGAACATCTCAGAACAATGCCCTCTACGTGTTGTCACAGATGATAAAAAAATCTTGTACTTGATAATTGGAGTACTGAAATACAATTGTTGGTAGACTTGCCAAGAAAACATCAGAAAAAGTAACTATGGAAGAGAAATTATTGGCTAAGTCCCTGTAAGAAGTAAAGTAGTCTTTATATATGTAACCCAGTATTTCATCTTTAAAATACTGACGCTTGTGATTAGTATGATAAAAATATATTGTTATACCGTAATGTTGATGCAGTTTCTGTGATGTGGCAGATTATTTACACTGTTTTTTTGTTTTTTTTTTATCAAAGTCCGTTTGAAAGTTTATTTACACTTCATTAGTCTGATATTAATTCTTAAAGTTGATAGTAAATATACAAGTGACTTTATGAAAATTGTAATAATCACCATGAAATATCCCAAATGTATGAAAGTAATAGCTATTTAATTAAGACATCATCAGAGATATTCTATTCTGTTTATATAACATATGATAAATATCTAGATGTTATTTCAAGTTTTGTTCCAAACCAGTAAATATTTGTTATATTTACTATGAAGAAAAACCTTGCAGAAAGTACAGTAAATCGTATTTTATATATAAATGGTTAATGAGTGATTTATTCTCACAGGTGGCTACAGTAATTGAAGAAAATGGTGGCTATGATGGCTGATATCAAAGTTTCGTGCAACCTGTGCAGAAGGAGATAGATGAATCTTTAAAATATCTCTAAGTCTTTAAAGTAATTTTTTAACTATGGGAAAACTAAAAAAAATAAACTTTGAGGCTAACTCCACATTATGTTTATTAAATGTAAGCCGCCAAGTTCATTTATGAGATCTTCACAAGTTATTTTATATGAGGCACTATCTATTGTACAGTTTTCTACTTTTAACATTGTTAATTATTGTACATAATGTAATTTTTTTAAGTTATTCTGTTAAATGTTGCTTTTGTACTCAATTTACCTGTTGGCTGATAAATGGGGTATAAAGCTTGTATTTAATGAATACATCCTGGAGTTATTCCTAACGTTTATATTGTTCTGTGATACAAATTATAAAAGAATGAATATTAGTAGTGGTTTACAATGTTTGTTTTTTTCTTGTGTTTAAATTTAATGAGTTAGTTTTATTAATGATACATCTTATAAAATTAATGAAGCATCAGTTTCAAACTTCAAATTATTTCATTAGTGATTCCTTTAATGCGAAACCAGCCATTAATAAGTAATAGTAGCAAACTACATGTGTATTAAGACAAATTTGAAGTTCAATTTTTAGTTACTCAGGGGAGCAGTGGTTAAAATGCTGGACTGTGGATCCAAGATTCCATGGTTCCTGCTCCTCACTTTGGGAATGTCTAATCTCACCATTCAATTAAGAGTTGACCACAAGGTGGCAGTGGATAGTATTGACTAGCTGCTATCCCTCTAGACTATCACTTCAAAATTAGGGGCCGTTAGGGCAAATAAATGTAAAGTAGCTTTACATAAAATTAAACAAACAACAACTAATCAGGGAGTTAATGAAAACATGTGGTCAGTGATTCAAGTCTGTATAATTGTAATGGTGGATTTTTTTATAAGTAAAACATTCGTGCAGTAAAATAAAAGACATAATTAGTGTCATAGCTGAGTAACAACTGAAAAAATTATTATTATAATAGTAATATCAAGCTTTACAACTAATATGCTGACATGATTGTTAACTAAGTATAGTTTAAATTTAACATAGTAGACTGTTACAAATTTCACTAGCCTGTCCTCAGTTTGATCATGATTGTTAAGTAAGTATAGTTTAACATAATAGACTGTTACAAATTTCACTAGCCTGTCCTCAGTTTGATCATGATTGTTAAGTACAGTTTAA